TAAAAAATTCATTTCTGGATATTGTAACACATACTAATTCTAATCATGTAAATTTTGAGTGTTCATGTGTATTTTTTGAAGAATTGTTTTTATGCAATATATGTTTCCTGGGTGTACTCGCTTTTGGTTTGCTTCCCCATTACTTCTTTCGTTCGTAAAAATTATTTTTTAAACCTCTCAATTAATAGATCTAGTCTTCATAATCTAAGAGTAAATGCACTTCTTAATACAATTAAAACTAGTGTAGAATAAAAAGGTCACATTATTTATCAAGTTATCCATTTCAATTCGCAAAATCTTGGGACTCGTACTTTTTCCTCCCTTGTTGACTTTTCTCCATGAGTTATTTTTAAAAATCCAATTCACACTAGTAATATATCATTATTAAGTTTCACTTAAATTTGCTCATAATATATTGATTACTACATATTAATTTTTTAATATTTTTCTTTTTCAATTTTCTTATTTTCGACTGACACTCTTACTACACAGAAAAAAATTCAAAGGCATGTAGGCCAGTAAAATCCATTCCAGATAAAAATTTGAAGCAAAAATAGTATTAAAAAATCGGACTTAAAACCTCAAGTATTCAATCGCAAAACGTCTCTTCGCAAGCAGCCTCGCACATAGATAGCATGTGCAGCTGGCGAACTGGTGAGAAGCATGGAAAGTGCATAAAGTGGATTGTGTCGTCACCTGCGACGAAAAATATTTTTCAAACCAACACCTGCTGCGTGCAGACTGCAAGCCAATCAACGACCTCGGAATGTACTAATTTGCCCACAATCAAATCCGCCGATTCGAACGAACACCAACGCATTAACACTTCATGATTTGGAACGTTTTTAGCGTGCTTTTGCATTTTCTGCGGCAATGAGCAGCAATTTCAATTTAAAACAGCGAGCCTGCTGTGGTCAGCTCTGGGGATGCGGCAGCTTATGCGATTAAGTAGAATGGGGCGAACAGGTTGCATCCGACGTTTCGTATTTCTAACCATGTTTACGAAATGCGAAATATTAATATTGAAAAAAGCACGCATTACAATAACCACTGGCCAAACGCCAAGAATAGGGGTTTGCAATATCCGATGCAGAATGAACTTTCTCTTTTCAATTTACATCGAAAGTGACGTTGGTAAACGAGGTAAAAATACGTAAATAAAGGTAATCTAATTAAAGAGTTGTGGACGAATTATTCTTTCGATTCACATCTCTCAAAAATATGTTATTATGGTTGCGAGTTAATTACTGGAAGCTGCCGCGGTCAAAATGTTCTATCATTGACTTCCAGATCTGAGACGATTTTTATATAAAAATAAGAAATATAAACTCTCATCGTTTCATATATTCTCTGATGCACTGAACGCAAAATATATAATTCCTCTATGAAACAAGGGCAACTTATTTTTTCTTATTCTGTACTAACCCTTGGATTGTGTTAGTACCAACGCTAGCTTTTGGGTTGAATGTAGGGGAGAATGGTTGACCGTTCAGACCAGAACCAAACTCTCCTGAATATCAGAAACACGGACCGCTGACAAAGAAGTTCATAAATGTAAGAAGGGTCGATATTGGTAGTGGCATACGTTAGATCCATCAGAGATTCCATGTAATAATTAGCACTAGTCCCCAGGGTATTTTTTTTCTTTTTGGAAGAGGGACGGCATTTGGCCAGATACAAACAACGTAGTTTGTACTAGATATCTCCAACACTGCTTGAAGGCAAGCATCAGTTTAAAAACCTACATAAACTGAAATCCATAAACTCTGTACACGTAAGCTTCCGCAGCTCGAATTCATGACTTCTTGGCTGTCCGGGTGACGCCGCGTCGATGGCTCAAAGGCCTACGTTTCGCCTGTCCTAATACATGCTTCCTCAGGGTAGTGATAATATCTTTTGTCACTACCCTCAGGAAGCCTGCGATATGACAAGGGAAACGTCGGCTTCTCAGCCAACGACGCGGCGTCACCCGGACAGCCAAGAAGTCATCCATAGACCCTGATAAATCAGACATATGCCACATCGGATTTACCTCCCCTCCTAGGTTCCATTGAGAATACGGACATTTTAAAAATGATGATTGTGATTGGCCATAAAAATGTTACGTTCATTTCCAAGCGGGGTTGTTGATTGGCTAACAATCCGCACGCGCTGGACGTCGGTGCCCAGCCCCACGCACGGCGCAGGGCGTCGTTACCTTGGGCGCGCGGTTCCTGCGCGGCAGGATGGACACGAGCGGCAGCTGGATGGCCTCGAGGAGGGCGACGCGCTTGCTCGTCTTGGGCGCGCCGCCCGCGCTGCCCCCGCCGGCGCTGGCCTCGCCCGCCTCCGCCGGCTCCGCCCCCGGCGCCTCCGCCGACGCCGATGGCGGCGCGGCCTGCGTCCACACGGGGGTGGAAACGGGTGCGGAGGGTGGATTGCGGCCGAGGTGCCGCTGTCTATTGATCGCATCGCTCGACGTCCTTGGCGGAAGGTCTTCCCACCGAAGCTTTGGTTTTATTCCGGGGCGTCAAGTACTAATCGCGTTTCATTTGGAAGTTTGTCATACTTGTCTTTCTCATGTAATGCGTTTCCAAGCGATTATTCTGTTCGCAGCAAATATTAGTTCATCTTTTCCTTCTGACCGAATATTCCACATTCTAGTCATTTTTTAATGAAACATATTTCTTACAATTATCGTGGTACATTTATTCTATTCAATTGGATTTCATACTTTTAAAAAATATCAGTAATTCGAGTAAGCCAGAATTTAATATTTTTTGGTAATATAACAGTCAATGTGAATTTTGAAAATTTTAAGGCTTTTTTTATTTAAATTTATTTCTGTTGGAGGAATGTTATTATCTCAGAAAAATTAAAACAAAATTATACAATACAAAGCATATTAGAATTATGGTTTCATTTTGACCAGCTTTCTTATCTACATTGTTCAGCGCTTTACGTTAGCAGAAGTTCTGTCAATTGAGCGGTATCCTCTTCTTAGCGAAGGAACGTTCTATCGTTGATTTGTAATAATTGAAATTGTCCTATTATTAATCGTATTTGAAATAATTATTATTCATTTTATTATCCTTCCTTCAGGAACCTTCCTTACCGATTATTCATTCTCTAGCAAATTGTTCATATTGTCTTTCAGATTCGTGAAATTCGTGAAATTCTTTTTCGTGAAATCTTTGTATCACAGTTAACTTACAATTCACTACTTCTATTGAATTTCATATCTTAAAAAAAGATCAGTAATCGTAAATATTTGACAAATGAAATTTATAATTTTGAGATTGAAGAGATAATAGATGAAGTTGAATAATTGAGGATTAGGTATTTCATTTTAAACTGATTTATTCTATTTAGGGAGTGTGTATACTTATCTAACAAGTTAACAAAATACTTAAGTTAAAAATAAATATTTCTTTAATGTTAATTAACTTTATAGAATTTTTAATGTCTAGCAAATTGTGTTCAGCATGAACAATAAATAAATATACGACATTCTTAGCACATGGACGTGTATAAAACATAATTTCAATACAACGTATGTACCTTTAATACGTTAATAATAGTCTATTAACGTCTGATAAAATTTCGAATTTATTTACGTGAAAGGGTTTGAGTAATATTTTTCTTTAATTCATATCTTTTCACTTCTCGATTAGCATGTTCTCATTGAATACATTATTTTAACTAATGAAGAGAATGTAATTGGAACCATTATGAAATGTTCACATCGCATAATTATCGGGTTAATTTTGGAAATTGCAAATTATTTTTCGAAACATTGTTCCTGTAAGTACCTTCATTAAAAAAAGTTTTTCATCAGCTAAACCGTCTTAAATTCATTACATTGCTCACAGTTCAACGTTCAGCTGACAGGAAATTAATCATATTTTACATATTCTCTTCCCATTCTAAAGACCCACTATTGAGAGAGATTGTAGGATAGACTAGCCGATAGCCTATATCTCTAAGCTCTATCATCTGAAAGCTCTAGAAGAACTAGTGGGAATGAAGTGAGTATTATTTGTCGCAGTGTCAGGCATCAGATTCAAGGCATATCCTCTAGGATGCAACTAATGTCACTAATATCTACGAGTACTAAGAAGTATCGAGCTTCACTAATTCAGCATACAGTTAGTCCTAAACCTGCATCACCAAGCACGTAGTACTTCATGTGATCGCATGTGATGAATATACTTTGAACATTCCATTGAGCATTGCAAGTCACGTTCCATTCCACGACAGAAATGAAGATTGTGTCCCATTTCATAAGGAGCACTGAAAATATAAGTAATTTCCAGAGGATGTTGATGTAATGTACATTCCGAAATTATACAGTTGTGATTCATACAAACAAAAGCACATTGTATGTCGTAATAAAATTACATGTGGCAAAAAATGCCAATAACTTCTCCGAAAACAAATAAAGGATAACAAAAAACTAATCAATAAAGAACTTAATTTTCATTAGTATTTATTGCCTTTCGCGAGTAACTATATGTTCAATTTAAAAAATACAGAATATATCGTCCTACAATTACAAATAGCATAAAATTGATAAGGTGAAACTATCACAAAAGAACCGAGGCGTCTGAATTAACTGGAAACGTTTACTAATATTTTCAGCTGTTCGCATATAACCAAAGATCTCATTTGGTGAACATGCGTTAACCTGAGTGATCTGGACTGTCCGGGTGACGCCGCGTCGAAGGCTGTGGCCGACGTTTCGACCATCGTGTCGTGGTCTTCCTCAGGGCTGGTATGCGAAGGGCATACCCGGGCGTACCTGGGTACGGGACAGGCTCACCCGGACAGTATTCACCCGGACAGTACTCACCCGGACAGCCCAGATCGCCCACATGACTCTGGCCGCGGCAGCCTACGACTTCACGCGTCAACCTGCCGGGACTGGAACGTGGCTCGCCGCCCACCGCAGCCATCTAGAGCCCGGCGTCCGCCCACGAGCACAGCGAGGGGCGCCGGCATGCAGCGCGCGCGGCACGTACCTTGCCCTTCTTGAACGGGTTCGGGATGAGCTTCAGCGCCGGCAGCCGCTTGGTCGGCGGCGTCTGCCCGTCGTGCATCGAGTCCTTGTCCTGCGCGTTCTGCGCGTTGTGGGCCGCGTCGCCCAGCAGGTCCTTGTTCTCCTCCTCCTGCTCGCTCTCCCCATCCTAAGGAGCAAGCCTTGCTTCACTCGCGGGAACAAAGCCACGTGGCGGGGGCAAGCGATTGTTTTTGCTGGGACGAGGTGGGGTAGGGGAAAAAAACTTGCGCACGAGCTGAGGGGTTGCTCAAATGCGATAGATTCTAAGGAGATTGGCGGGACGTGGGTTGCGAATTAGGAGGGATGGCAAGCATGTCCAACTATCACGTACATTTGAGCAAACATTCAAAAAGGTGGCATGTCCGTTTGGCAATAATTAGGTTGTTCTGTTGTTTTTACCCACAATATTATTTCTAGAAAAAAAGTTAGATGTCTTACAATACATTCAGTAAGGCACTTATTCATCGAGTTGAAGACGGTGTTGAAAAGTGTAAAATTTGTGCTGTATTTTTCATTTTTATTGGAAAGAATGAAGTGGGCGTGTCATGTTTTGAATGTTTGCTCCTCATTTTACCTCTTCAAAATATTTCTTGAGCGATGAAAACTATAGTATATAGTGTACAACCGATTTGCACGTTTTGGGATTTTAATCCTTGTCTAAGACAACTTTTATGTTGATAATAAAAGATAATACAATTGTGCTCGGATTTTTTTAAATTTCCAGCAAAAAATAGTAATTTTTTAAATCACCTGAAAGGGTCGGTTATCTTAGCTTACATAAGGACGTACAAAGGAGTGTCGAAAACTTCATTCGAATGTATCAAATCATCCATTAGAACAGTTTCTACGAATACGTTTTCTACAACTAATGAATACTAATAGATGTTGAACCTAATAAACATTTATGTCTTTTCTCTCACTTTATCTCTGATACTTCCATGTCTCCCTCCCGTTCCACATTTTACTATTTTGTACGTTGCGTTTCCCCGCGAGTAGTCCCAATTGAAACGAAATATTGACTTGAACGATCAGCAATGTATAATTATGAATCATTGTAAACATTCCTGCGTTCGGTCGCAGTAATTGAGCAACCTGTATCATGAAGAATGTTATTATAAACGAGGTGCGGCAATCTAGTACAAAATAAGAGCAAAAAATTGGAATAACGACATAAAATAACATTCCTATCGTTCATAAGTTCATTTTATCATCATCTCCGTCTGACATTTACCACTTCATATCGCTCTCATCGGTACAAACGCATGTAACCGCGGTGTTCCACAAATACACGAGCTTTTAATTCACAAACATCACTTTCTCCTGGTCGCTCGATCGAGGCAACCTGGATATTATTCTCGAGTAGTAGGCGCACCGACACACTCAAGAACTCGCCTTCCATGTCTAGGAGCTGCTTCTGAAATTTAGACTTATCGACCAAGACCGAAAAAGACGCGTTATACCGGGTAATTCCCATTTTCCCGTTTTCATACAATCTTCCCTATCTGTCGACCACCACTTCAAATGACGTTTCTCAGAACCTCGCCTGCAGTCGTGATATTCCATAAATACGAAATAAAGGTTCCCTCACCTATTTCTCTAGTTCTTTTCGCCGGGCACCTCACGCAGGAACAAATTTCACATCATACACGAACACGTGGAAGATTTTGAGTGGCACTCACTGTCTCATTTTAATCTTGTCTCCCATTCTTGTCTAAAATTGTCAAGTGTTCATTCGCCCCATCTACAATTTTCACGTACTGAGCAATACCGGTCACACTCCCGAATACCGGATACCAAATGGTGATACTGAAGAGACCCTAAGCTGATCTTTCCGCACATCGAGCCCGCGCGTTTGGACGTCAGTGGAGCTGCAGGAACAACACAGCCGTTCGCTTCGCTTTCCAGCGAGCAACTGAATGCTTCAAAAGTCTCTTCGATCGGCCCCGATCACGCCATCCCCGACATTCAGTGACGTAGGACGAATAAACGTCAAGCAAAACTACTTCGCCATAATACAGACTTTTCACTATCAGGCACGAGACAGCTACGGTCCTTCAGCCATAGCGACCACGGCTATCCCGACCGGCCATTACCTTTTTATACCTCATTAATATTTGCGTTTAAAATCAATCTTCGAACACAAAAAGCTTTCAATTTTCGTTTATTTAACAACAACTTCAGTAGACCTTGACTACTATATATCGTTTGCAACTCGCATAGCAAATAGCCAAGCCAACTTCATTCCAACTTCGCAATGTAGTTAGTTTTGTGTATGAAGTAATGATAAATGAAGGCAGATAGACGTTCATTCTAATAATTTGAAGAAATTACTCATACTTAGTGTGTATACAACATTTAAAATAAGAACAAGTGGTAACAAACTTAGGACCCACTACCTTTCATATAAAATAAAAATCTCGAAATTTAGTTGAGTAGAAAGAAATGTCTTTCTAAACGAAAATCCTTGATGTTTTAAATAAATCTATTTCGAATTTTAAATCTCCTCACTACATATATGTCACATTAGACGTTTGCAGTAGACGATAAATGAAATGTTTCTCGTTTACATTGGACTATTCATTGTTTTCAGGAGTAATTAGAACTGTAGGCCAATACTCAACTAATATAACAATATCGGCTACGACAATAAAAATATACCAAGAGTGTTAGAACACATCATTAGCTAACTTTAATTATCAAAGGGAGGCATACCAAACCCAAGAATATGTGTCTTATCTTTAGGCTATGATTAATTGTTGAATATTCTTAAAGATAATTTTATCACTTTTGTCACTTTTTTGTACCCATCATGGATTTGAATCAGTTTATTTTTTTTCCGAATCGCAAAGATTACGCCCCGCCCACCCTCGTTTGTCTCATGCTCACCGACGAGACCGTCAGTTTCGAAAAGAGTTTTTGTCGCCTCTGCGCCGGATATAGACCCGACAGAGTGTAACAAATTATCCAAAGCACCTACACACGATTCCCTTTATTCATAGAGTCCTTTTGACACACGGCGTTTTAAACAGCGTTATTTTTCTCTCGGTTCAAATGTTTTGTGCAAAATGTCAAACCTGTCACTGAAGCTTTTACTACATACAAACAAGGTAGGTATTACAAGCGCTCGGCGTTGCTGTCATGAGCGGTTTTTACAAATGCAAATTTAGTCAGCGAATAACTACGCCGAGCTTTTCATCAATTCCTATTCTCGAGAGATGTCATCGTCAAACATAGAAGCTGCAGCGTAATGAATTTGGGCAGAAAGGACATTGCCGGTTTGGTGTTTCGCCAAACATTTAACTAAAGTGTTTTTCGTTTTGCGAAGCATTTCTAATTCGTGAAAATAAACAAACAGTTCACCATGATTTTTCAGAAGTTGGATACTATTCACCAATTTGTCCACAACAATTTAGGAATTTATTGATCAGTAAATTCGGTAGTTTCATTAAGGTAGATTCGATAGTTATTCGATTAAACACTAGAGAATGCACTGTAGTGAATATTAATCAGAATGCATGGATGCACGTGCTCAACATAGCTAACAACAATGTAAAATTTAAATTTAAATGAAAAAAGGGTTCATGCAGTTTCCCCCACAATAATTTTATTAAAATATATTATAATATTTATTATTATCATTAGTATTTGACAATATATTTTCTTTCCTTTCGCTTGTTTGTTCATAAGGTATTTTACTAAAGAAGTATTGTAATCACCTCAAAAATACAAACTCTAATTTTGGGTCGTAAAATTCTTGTTTAAGAATTTTACAACCAATTCAAAAGAATTTGAGATATAACTCTGCTCACACATTAAGATCAAGGTCTATTAGCGCTTTCCCAAGGATGGTTAAGGTTGGTTCTGGTGGAGAGGGGTTACAAGAAATTGTTTACCCCATACTTCGGATGTATGGATGAGTCACGCAAAACTCCATCAGATCAGAAAATTTTGTGCTGAAATTTAGCAAATGTGCCACAAGAAAAGCGTAACAAAAATTATGTAAGAAAAAAGTCTAAAAAATGTTTGTAATAGTTGTGCTGTTTAGTAGATTATTAAAATATTTTAATTTTTGAAGGTACCTTAAATGAAGTCTTTGTGGCATTTTCTAAATTTCTGGAAAATGGCAGAAAATTTATTCTTGACATTTTTTCTTCGAATAGAAATTGCATTTATAAGTATGGAGTAGTTCCCATTCTAATACTCGGATATTTAGAAAATTACAAAAATTATTATTTTTAAAACACCGAATGTTTCTTTTTAAAACGAACTTTTTAAAACGAGATTTCATCATATCCAAACTTCGTGATTTTTGCTTTGAATGAACAGAATGTTTTTATGTCTTGCTACTTCCGTTATTAACCGTTTTAGTAGAAAAATAACAAAATTTTAATTTCTTGAAATTAATAAAATGACACTAAGAAGAGGAAAAGTGTGGTATGCCACGCATTCGCACTAGTTATCGTTCAACTATTGTATCACACTGTTTCTCGCCGTGTTTACATATTACGCGAAGCGTATATTTATATATATTTTCTCCCTCGTTGCTAACACCCCAAAAATTCTAAATATATTACAGAAAGTGCTATGCTTGCTGCCCTAATTTAAAATGCATTAAATTTACACATAAATTCTCAGCTCTCAGCGAAGGCAGCCAAACGCCAGGTCCGAAGAGCTGTGCCACGCATTACGCGTATCGATCTCTTGCATGATGAAATCAGTAAATCTAAGAGTTGTATGTCGTCGTTTTTTGTATATATTTTAAATTTTGATATTTTGTAATTAAACAAAACAATACAGTATAATTATACGCACCTAAATCTTTTTTAATTTTTCATGAAATAATTGAAGCAAAGGAGGATTTTGAATCAACCATGAATCAGTGACAATATAAATTACTTAACCAGTTCACTGTTTTATTTCTTATTACCCATTGAGTATCGGTTGTAACAGACTAGTCACCTAGTGCTTGCAGACTGGCTTTGCATCCCACTCGAACCATCAACCCATGGTTCCGTGCGCGGCGTTGCTGCCGGATGCTCAACAGAGCATTGACCTTTATTCACTGATTGGACTTTGTGATTGATTACAGGTTCATTCCAATAGGTAACATGATTTAATTAACTTCAT